TGACTATTAATGCGAGGAATTTATGTCCTAATTTGTTATTTACCATTTGGTTGTATGGGGGAGTATACCAAATAATTTTTCTACATCTGTTTTTTCTATGCTTTCCATTTTCATTTTTTATATAACTTAGTTTGGGGTTTTTGTAGCCACTCTCTTTTAGAGCCTTATTATAGGAATTGATATGCTCATCGAAAATCTTGTCATTTGCTGAATTTGTACTAATTGGTTTACTGATAGATAACGGTATATGTTTAATTATAGATGGGGGTGTTTTGATTTAGGGTGTATATATAAAAGAATTGGTGTTGGGTTTTTTATAAGGTGTGTATGTATTTTATTGAGATCTAATGTTATATCTAGGAAGTCCACTTTTTTTAATTTAGTACTAACTGTAATTTTAAGCCCATGCTTTTAAATTCTTTATATAATAACTTTCTAATTTTTCTATTTTAGTTATTGATATATATATATATATATATATATATATATATATATATATATATATATAGGGCTGTGGTGAAATAATCTATTACATGGAACCTTAAAATGGTCTTTTTTATTTAAATTATTTGCTCTGGATTTACATTGAGCTCTCTGGATTTTATCCTCCTTAGATTTACCCATACGGATTACCTAGTTTTTCATAAACTATATATATATATATATATATATATATATATATATATATATATATATATATATATATATATATACACGTAAATGTTCCAGCAGAGCTCTGATGCCTCATGTAGCCCGAGTATGGCTTGAATTTTCTGAATATTGTATCCTCAAAATGTGATCTCTCGGCTCTCCTGCATCCTCTGGGTTGCTAAAAAATGTATTATTTAAAAAAAAAATACTTTTTTTCTTTATAATTACAATTTGATTTCAATTTTCTGACGCACCGTTAATTTGATATATTTCTTATTTCTCCTCTATATTTTATAAACAGCATTTCTATGCATGTCTAAGCAATTTCTGTATATGTGTACTTGTGTGCGTGTGCGTGTATGGAAGAGGATGCTGGTAAATTCTCGATCTGACCAAAAAGGTATGCTAAAATAAATTCTGATATTTGGTTGTTTAACCAAATTTTACAAAGTGGGTCAGGCCGAAATCTTTTTCTGTTCTCACTGTGAAATAAAGATTTTATTCACGCTTTTTTTTATCTCTCTTAAACACACACACACAAACACACACACACACACACACACACACACACATATATATATATATATATATATATATATATATATATATATATATATATATATATATATATATAAACATATATTGTTAAATATAACAGACAATGAATGTTTATTATGTCTGATCAGGGGCCGTTCTAAACTTCGTATGTTTGCTTTAATTTCGTGTGGAAATAAAGGCAAAAATTGTCCAACATTTGGATAATTTGTATTAAGCTGATTCTTGATCTAAGCTTTCGGCTCATATGAGCCATCTTCAGAATGGTTATACGGACATTTAAACAAGGATATTGACTATCAGAGAGGATATTCTGTTATCTTGACATAGAAGATTGCTATTCGACGATAACGGTCGCGGAATAGCAGACGCAGATCGTAAGTTTATGATGTTGTTCTATGAAACCGCGTGGGAAACCGAAATATTAACAACAGAATCATATGTTTAGATGCAATGTTTTTAGTTTGAAATGTAATTTTGTTGAGTGTGGGTTGCTTTATTTTGATGTAGATGGCCTCCAATATCTGAAGGGTTATTTTTTACTGTGTTGATGTATGAGTAATATTGTGTTATCAACTAATATCTGTCTAAATTTATGTACAAAGCTATGTTTTTCTAAGAAATATTATTTAATAGAACTAAGATGAGAAAGGTGACAAGTATGTCTACGAGAGAGTGTGGTTATAGTAAAACCAATATATGTAGTGAGTTTATTATTAGTATCAGAGATACAATCTCTGAACGTGCATGTAAATTGATACACTACATTGTTTTTTGTAGAGGATTTTATTGCGTGGGGATAAGGTTATTAGAGACTGAGATCATTTGTTTTAATTTTTTATAATATATGATGAGCTTAACTTGTTTATTATTATTAATTGGTTTAATATTTCTACTTATTATGTTTTTGAGTGTTGTTTCATCATGTTTGTAATTATTATGCATTTGGTTACAATAGTATGAATTAATAGTATTATGTTTATTTTGACATACACTAGTATTATTAATATTATCAATTTTGTTAGAGGTTTATTAAGTTTATTGAGATACATTTTAATTTGCTGATCAATGACGGAATTAGGGAATCCATTATTAACAAGTGTTTGTTTAATGTTATGTAATACTTTATAGAATATGGTTTTGGACGAAGATATCATTTTTTTGCGTTGGATTAAGTTTTTTTATAACGGCCAACTTATATCGTTGGGAGCAGTCACTGTTATAATTAAGAATACACAAATTAATGCTAGTGGGTTTCCTATATAGAGAAGTAATACATTTATGTGTGCTGGAATCAATAAATACATCAAGTAATGGAAGTTTATAATTAATATTAAGTTCTAATGTAAATTTGAGGACAGAGTGACTCAAATATGTTTTTAAGTTGTGTAATTTGATAAATAGTTTTAGCTAAAACGAAAATGTCCTCTATGTGTCTTACATATATAGGGAGTTTATTAGTGGCATTAAGTATATTATTTTCTAAATGTGCCATATAATAATTAGAAAGAAGGGGGCCTAAAGGAGATCCCATCGCAATACCGTCTATTTGAGTATAAATATTACCTCGGGGGTCATGAAAAGTTACTTGAGTGGTATATAATTTTTTTTTTAAATAGTGGGTTTAATATTGATGAGCGGGAGAGAAGAGTGATTGTATACATCACGGATAATGATGTCAATCGTTTCATGAACGGGGACATTAGTAAATAAATTTTGTGCATCCAAAGATACGATTATTTGGTTGTTTGGTTTTGCAGCATGAAGAATTTGTATAAATTCATTTGAGGAATGAATACAATCTTTACTTGGGAGGTGGGAAGTAATTAATTTAAGTGTTTTTGAAAGGTAATATACTCGTGTACGTATTTGTGAAATGATAGGTCGGAACAGAATAATCTTTTTATGGATTTTTATATTTCCATAAAAGGTAACCTGGTAAAGGTAACTATAATCTTTTGAAGTTTATAACATCCTGTGTCAGCATTGTTAGCAGTAATAAGTTTATTGATATGTTTTTTTTTTAACTAGGAGGTGGTGTTTTTGGTTAACTTTTTAAATTTATGATGATCGTCCAAAATGGACTATAATTTTGAGTGGTACTCATGTTTGTTTAAAATATCGAAAGTATTAGTTTTATCAGCTCGTCGGATAACAATACTGTTGTTATATTTTAGTTGTGTGGCTGTTTTTATTAAAGAAGTGTTTATTATTCAAGTCGGAGTTTTATGATAACGGTGTTCAATAGATTCGGCTTTAAGTAATTCTTTTAACCCTCCCTGTGTATTAATGTGGTTTTCTTGAATAGAAGTATTTGTTGGTATAAAGCTTCAATTTGCGTTTGTTTAAGCATTAAATTGAGTTTCCATGCGACATGAAAATTTGGTCCAAAATTAAGGAATTCCATTTCATTTGGAATTGGTAATCCGATAGGTTAAGGAAGTTGCCGTTGATTTTTGGTAAAAGTATTTTTCCTATATGTAATTTTTTAGCGTTTTTGGGGTGACTGGTTTATGAGATTTATTTTCCTTTTGTGTTGTATTATATAATAAATCCAATATTTCCTTGAATTTTTCAGTTGTGATAGAAGATCGTAAGATTCCTTTAATATATACAATTTCAGTGTTGATCCGTTGTAATTCCTGTTTGCCTGTGTTTATTTGTCATTTAATGAGGTTCAATTGAAATTTCTTGGTGCTGGGATCGTTTAATACTGCAGCATCACGCAACTTGAATTTAGTGTATTGGGGCAGCAGATCATTATTTAAACATATATTGTATATATATGCCGAACTTTTTGACTAATATCTTTACTGAGTACGAAACACCTGGTTAGTAATCCACGAACGAAGGTATTGCTGTGATGATCGCTAAAAAAAAAAACTGATGCCAATGTCAGATGCGTAGATGAGGTCACTTAAAACAGCTGCACATCCCCTAGGAACCTTCCCAGTGCTTTCTGAAATTTCCCATTTGTGGTAAGTCATGTCACCACCTAAAAAACTCGGATTTTGTAAGTTTCCGGATTTGTGAATTTCGAATTAAGGTTACTCAACTTGTAGTACATGAAATTTCGTAGTTTTAGGTGAAGTCTTTAGCAGTATAGAGATGAAATAAACTCAAAACCGGAAACTCGGTGCGAAACAAGGGATAAATCTCTCTACCCATTTTCAAAAGAACCGGGAAGTGTGTGAACCGGGCGATAGGCGAAAATATCCATTCCTACTGAGGATAGAGGATAACAGGAGAAGTTAACAGGAGGATGGATAGACTAGGTAATGAGATAGTCACACCCATAGGAGATGCGGGCATAGGCGAGTGTACGTACTCGTCTATCAAGAAATCAGAGCAATAGAACTCCTTGAATCAGAAACATCATACCGGTTTGAAACCTCCGGTATCGAAGCAAGTTCACTCATATAATCCCCACTCCCCGGGAGAAGAGGGCGACATAGGTTGCTCAGTGGTGCATCGGCATCACCTGCCTCCATTTGATTTAATATTAACTTGATAGCAAAATTAATTTGACGGGAGTTATTTTTAGGGGTCTAGCGTTGGTGAGGTCATCTCCATATAATACCTTGAGTTACGGAAGTTTACTTAAAGAAATGACTATGGTATTAATTATAACTATTAAGTTTTAATTTAGTATAAGTCGAAATATCCTTTATTAGAATAAAGGTGTTAGGGGAATTAAAACTAGCCTGATCACACAAAGAAAAAAAATTCAAATTATTTGTATAAAGATCACATATAAGACAGTGATAGTCAAACATTTTCTTGCTCACAGGCAC